ATACATAAAACCAAGTTGCGTAATCACACAGCTGAGCAAGTAGTAGTATCCCAAGTAGAGAGTACAAATGCACCGAGAAAACCATCCATAAAGAGCAATACAATGAAGTATTGAGCCAATGTCCAAGCCCATAGGCCACACCAACACAGTATCCAGAGTCGCTCTCTCTGTCTGGGGCACAGCGCCAAGCCTACTCTACCACACTATCCTACCCTACAGCTGGTTCACACAACAGGATCACTTCGACTGACGAAGACCAATGTACATGACTGTCAACACCATCGGCGACCTCTCTTCATGTACCAGGTACGTATCTCGTCACCCTAAATCCGACCTTGATTATCCCACACAGCGCCTCACTCCCTGAAGACCACCTGATCATCCGCTGTACCCCCCTGGCGCCCAGCAGCCCGGCTATGGCTGCCTGCACCCAGCTGCCCTGCAGCGCCCCTCTCACCTCTCGCGCCCCGTCAGTGCCCTTGGCAGCAGCGCAGCATCAAGCGAGAGCGCAGCAGCACTTCCGCATTGTCAGCGCTGGCCCGAATGCCTGGCCTGGTGTTACATGCCCAGTTGGACGATGTACATAGAAACCAAGGATCCGCAATGTGATAAAAAGGACTGAAAGGACAATGCAGTGCAAGTAGAATCTCGACAAGCAATGTGCATTCTCATACATACAAAAGGGTGCTGAATAGCGCAGTGGAAGATTTAGATACAAGTCCTGACCTGAACGGGACTGACCTCATTCACGTAGTGCAAGATAGCGAAGCAGAAAGCTAGAATGCTAATGACTAGCCCAATCAATGTTTGAATGCAGACCCAACATACATCGTATCCATCACGAGGTGTGAAGGAGCCTGGCGCTGTACACAGGAAGGAAGCGCCAGGTCCAGACATACACAGACGAAGAAGAGGGGATCAGACGAAAGGAGGGAGAGAGATGGGAATGTCGTCAACACCAAGTCTTTGTCATGAGTCCCAAATAATCCCTCGTTGCAATGTCTGAAGTCCAAAAGTCGAGTCTGGATCCAATGTCACCAAGCTCTTTCTCCCTTCTCTCGTAGTCTGCAGATGCAGTGAAGTCAGATGATGAGAGGGTGAGAGGGAGATGGCGGACTGAGAAAAGGAAGAAGAAAAACTCTCTCTCTCTGTTACGAGCCAGATACTAACCTGTGATGTTGGCACTGTGCTGCAGGTACCTCGAAGACGAAGCTGGAGCAACGGCGCTGCAGGTACCCAAGGCCTCCGCCCAATCTCTCTCTCTCTCTAGTGCTATCCTAGCTATGGCGCCCAGCGCTGGAGACTACAGCTACCTACTGTGCCC